ACTCCACCCAACAACCCCCCATCTACTCCAACAAGCCACATCTCCTAAATAGTGCCACTCCCAGTTAGCTTATGGGGGCCAATTACATTTAAACTACCACATAAAATAATAATAATTAATAATAATAGTAATAATAATAATAATAATAATAATAATAATAGCTCTTGAAAAAGAGCTGAGGGAAGGAAAGAGTAAGGTACTGAGAACTAAAGAAAGTTCTCATACACGATGTAGGACCAGGGTCACCACAGCCCCTGTGAGGATGGAGGAAAAGGGCGGCTAGAACAGGGAAGCCTTGATGAAACACTGTAAAGATTGCTCTGAGCTGAGCAAGATGAGAAGGCACTGATGAGCTCCTGTAGGAGCCTTGATCAGGGCAGTCAGAACTGGCTCATGTTTTATATGGTTCTGTTATCCAGCATATTCAGAACAGACTAACCATGTTCAAACCAAACTCAGCATCTTCCCTGGCAAGCCTCCTACATTCTCAGCATCTCTGTCCTCTGACTCACTGATGTTCAGAACCTTCTACAGTCTCAAACCAATGGCTGTCAGCACCCTGCCAGTGCTTCCTCCAACTTTTTCTTTCAGACTTTTTTTCTGTCATTCCTGCAACTCTATTTCAACAATTTCCTGAGCCAAATCCCTTAGTTTTTCCCTCCCAACGAGAGCACTTGGGACTGCCAAGCCATTGCCCTCCACAGGTTAGTGTTGTAGAAATTACTTTCACTATGTAAAGGTATATTACATTTGTTTATGATACATTTGTTTAAGGATGTAAGTATGTGTATAATTATGTAAAGGTGTGTTGCAATTGTTTCGCCTTATGTGCTTAAAGCCCTGATTGGTCTAATAAAAAGCTGAATGGCCAATACGTAGGCCGGAGAATAGGCGGGACTGGTGGGCAGAGAGAATAAGTAGAAGAGAATGAAGAGAACGAGGGAGAAAGAGGGACATGCTCAGGGTCAGAAGTGAGGCAGCCACCAGCCAGGAGAAGCAGTCAAAGTAGGACAGGAGAGAGACAGAGAGAGAGAGAGAGAGAGAGAGAGAGAGAGAGAGAGAGAGAGAGAGAGAGAGAGAGAGAGAGGAGCAAAACACAGATAAAGAGAAACAGATTAAAATAAGAGCTAAACTAAGGGGCTGGAGAGATGGCTCAGAGGTTGGGAGCACTGGCTGCTCTTCCAGAGGTTCTGAGTTCAATTCCCAGCAACTATCTATGCTATCTGATGTGTAGGGATACATGCAGACAGAACAGAACATGGTATATATAATAAATAAATAAATCGAGAGAGAGAGAGAGAGAGAGAGAGAGAGAGAGAGAGAGAGAGAGATAAGGAAAGAAATAAGGCTAAGCATTGAAAACTAATAGCAAGTCTCCTTGTCATGATTTGGGAGTTGGTTGGTGACCCAAAAGGAAGCCTGTTACAGGCTGGTCCCTCTTGGGGCATGTCTTAGTTATTTCTATTGCAGTGATAAAATTCTGACCAAAATCAACTAGAAGCAGAAAGGGTTTGTTTTGGCTTTAAACTCACAGCTCATCACCAAGAGAAGGGAGAATGGGACCTCAAGGTAGGAACCTTGAAGCAGGAACCTGAAACAGAGACCATGGAGGAGCGATGTGCACTGGTTTGCTCTTCTTGGCTTGTTCAGCTGTTTTTTGTTTTTGTTTTTTTTTAATACACTCCAGAACTACCAGCCTAGGGATAGTAACACCCACAGGGGACTGGGCTCTCCCAAATCAATCACTGATCAAGAAAATACTTCTACCCTCTTGCCTACAGGACAATCGGATGGAGGAGTTTTCTCAGTTCAGGTTCCCTCTTTCCAGATGACTCTAGCTTATGCCAAGTTGACAAAAACCAGGGTTGTTCCATACATCCGCCGTTTCCCTGTTCACCAACCTCAAGAAGGTCCAGATTCTTCAGAATGAAATCTGAGCCTTACCACAATTCTAATCTACTGGTCAAAACTTGCCACCCATTATTATCCAAAAGCATGCTGCCTTCTGGTCTAACAAGTTTCCCAAACCAGCTCTCCACTCTCCTACCGTACGCCTTTACTTATATTGTCTCCCCTTTTTGTACCTTCTGTTTCATGCCATCCCAGTCCCACCCACAAAGGCTATCTATGCTTCTGGGACCATCCCAAGTAGCTCCTTCTCAAAGCCACCTCCAGCTCTCTGGGTAGACTAATGTTAACTTACTGCCGTCCCCCTAACTCCCTCATCACCAACATATCTGGCGCTATACTAAGCCACGGCTCGAATATGCTTTCCTTCCTTCTCCATGACACCAAAACACGAGAGTCCTCTAGAAAAATTCTGCACTTCAAGTGAAGATGCTGGGACAAAGATGCTCCCCACAGGCAGATATTCTGGCCTTTGTTTCATATTTTGTATAAACTGTGGCATGGGTATGAGCAAGACCTTAGGCAGACTGAGAATGCCTCCCTTTCTGGTTACGACCAAACCTGTACATAAATTCATTTTTCCATTTATCTGTATTGTTTTTTTTTCTTAATGCAAGAGAGCGTTCAGACTCAAAGCTGATAGGTGGAGGCCTGCACTAAAAGTCATTAGAAGAGCTACATGTTGTTCTTGTTGTTATGTATCTTTGTAGCTTTGACAGTACCCAGTTCCAATCCCTTGAACACAGTAGGTGTCCAGTCAATGTTCATGGAATGCAGATTCCCAGGGCTTTGTTGGTTAAGTCCTTAGAGCCTGAACTCACATCATCTGATTCCAGGCCCTACACACCTTTCTCAACAGTCTTCCCTTTCTCTGGCTTCTTGCCACGGTCCACTGTCATTTCAGCTGAGCTGTATCTGAAACAGCTGTGGGATTTTAAGTCAGAATGACTAGGCAGAAAGAAAAAAAAATGAAACAAACCAAAGGCTGGAATTTATTTTCCATGTCGCTATTAAAGTCAGTATGAACATCTGACTTAGAATTTGAATTAAAAAGTAAACAGTGAACAACAGCAACAAAGGCCAGTAGCCCTCAAGAAACTCTACAAGAGTTTGGTGTTTGAGTTGCATCTTATAGCCATTAAATCGTCATGTTTCTTGGTATAAACTTGTAGTCCAAGGAAATAAAGAAAAGAGGAAAAATAAGTGTGTTTTGAGTTTTCCTTCCTTTTTTTTTTTAATAACTCCCAGTAAAGCTTCTAGTCCCTAAGATATGACTTGGGGATGAGGCTCTGTGGCCAAGTCTCATTCCCAATTACTCTAGTCATCCCGACTTCCAAACTAGGAAAACACATCTAAAGGGCCAGTGTGTGTTGAAATGTGAAATTAAACAAGTAAATTACACTCACAAAACATGCTACATGCAACTACATGTTAAATGAGAATAAAGTTAAGTTGTAGATTGAAAAACTAGTAACAGCTAGCATTAATGAAGCAGGCCTGAGACTTCATTAGTGACACTTGAGATGCCCTTAGGAAGGGGAAGGTTTGGTTGACAGTGAACCTGTA